GCCGATTCGAGGACTGACATAAACCAGACAACTATGTGGCAACCAAGCGTATATTTTTAACCTTGCTAATTATTTTGTACTTATTCATGTCACTAAACGCTCTTATTCATATAAAACTTCCATATATGTCTGATCTGCTGTGAAGATGGCATGGAATTTAATACGTCCAATCAATTCGTAATTCTACCACTGAAATTCTGCGCATTTGGTATTTTCTCGAGTTGATAAAACGAATGATAAGATGAAATAAATACTATTACTTTCACCGCGTTAAACATATATATATTTTTTTTCGTATTCATAATATTACAGCGTTTCTTCAAAATAATGACAAACTCATAGAATTCAAGATAGATCTCAGCAGCAATCTCCACGTCTTACAAGATCCACTCCAAGAAATTAGACAACTAAGAAGCGAAACTAAAAACAATTATAAAACCAGTACATCCAGAGGATATGGTGCTCAATCATAAGGGATGGATATCTATCTGGCATGTGGGTTCAGCAATCTTGAGAACACGCTAATAGACCAGTTTCACTAAAATGACCGGACATCGAAACAGCAGTGTTAGCCAGCGTACAAGCTGAAACATTAAATTCAGGGAAAGAAGTAAATGCAAAGTGATCCATGTTCTATTCACAAAGATAATAACGCAGTGTTGTGAAACCGAACATAAGATCAAGTAGGCTCCCAACTTTGGGATCAATATGCTGGATTTCATGATAATCGTACGTGTGCAAATCAAATCGCAACACTACAGAAAAAAGATAATCAACTGAACGGAACTCTTTATTTTACATGATGCGTGATAAAAAAATAGTGGCTGATATGGTTTAATATAACCACCTGGTTGTGGCTAAGATGAAGCTGAAGTCGATGGAGCAACGTACAACACGATAACCGCAATAAAATATTCAATATAATCCCTATACAAGATCGTGACAAGTTCGATGAATTCAAGATGTATCGCAGTAAGATATTTGGAGGCTTGAAAAATCCATTTAGACATTAGGAAACTATCATAAGGACTGAAAAGTGTTTTAAGAGGTAGTACCTTCTACATGCCTGCAGTTCATAGGTCGATAGAGTTATCGTCATGTAAGGATAACTACTATAACTCTTCTTCTTTAGAAAGTCAATTGAAATGTGATGACATCCACATCACAGGAGAAGCACAGAACAAATTGGATAGCTCTAATGCACCTAGATATTTTCAAAATTTTTGAAGGTCTAGCTCTTCTGTACCATTCACACCAACAAATCCAGGTGAAGACAGACAGTGTGTTGGCAGCCTCCACAGCAATAGGCCTCAACATTCACTAAGGAAAAAGCAAAACCCTCAACTGAACCATGATGAAAATGGACCAAGTATCATTCGTTAAAGAACAACCGGAAGGTGTGGAAACATTCAGGTTTCTGGGAATTATGATCGATTAACTACACAAGTCTACAAATGTTTAAATGCACAGCAGACCAAAGAATCCATGCGTTACAAAAAGGAAACAGTGTTCTGTGTCGCAAACTGACGAACTTATATCAGAACAACAGGCAACGAATGTGGCTGCAAGAAAGACCGAAGGATAGAAGTCTATCATGCACAAGGAGACACTGAGCTCCTACTGCATGCTGGTTCCTTCAAACATACTATAAATTGTAGATCACAAAGCAAATTTAAACGGTCATACCGGTTATCGGTGACGTCTGTGATAATTAACATAGATCCTAGAAACAGTCGTTTTCGTCTAGAACAGAGCAGCCGGTGCTCAGTTCCTAGTAGATACGATAGCGTAAATCAGAGAAGTAAGCGAGGATGAAAATACGTTATTATGTTACTAGTGCTAAGAGCGGTGAACACGTCAGATATGAAGACATACATCAGACGAAAATTGTTCTCAGATTTTGGACGAGGCGCTTCGTACTGCTGGGACGATTTCGTAGCAGGTGAATCAGTTCCCACAATAGGCATCGAGTTTTTGTGTACCTGCGATCTCCTAGTGGTCTCTCAGCCTCACAGACTTGTAAACGTTAGTCACACGACTTCGACAAGAGAAACATGAAATCCGCTTCCATGACTCTAGTGATAGATAAAAGCCGCAGTGATCCATGTGAATTACTGTTAGAGGAGGTTATCAAACTCGTGAAAGTAACGTGAAATAAAGTGGGTCTCAAACGTTCCATCCAGCTCGGCCTGGTAGGCGTGGTCATCGTTTGGTGTTGTCATATAACTTTTCTTCATATTAAATATGATTTTCTATTTCTAGGCTAAATGTGTTCTTCATCATATATTGGTAATCGTTACCATACGATGAGGCAGTGTAGACAAAATTGTGACTTCCACGTTAGACCTTATAGATTAGGCAGTTGCATCATGAAAAATATAAAATTTTAGGATTAGGCCCATTATTAGAGAAGTAGTCCTATCATGGTAAACCATAATTATACACATCGTCATACTAGCTCCTCATTGGGTTTTTGTTCTCACCAAGACACTAGATTCCAACATACATATCGATATCATGGGACCACTGACAGTTTCGAATGAATATAAATATATCTTTACATACATTGATAGATTTATACAATAGCCTGTATTGGTACCGATAAATGGAACCTCAGTTGAGTCTGTAATCAAAGCCCCAGTCGAGAATTGCATCTCTCAATATGGCGTACCAGCGATTATCACAACCGACGGAGAAGCCCGATTCGAAAGTCGACTCTTCCAGCAGCTTAAACAACTCCTCAGAATTATTAATTGAGATCATGAATCAATTGATGTTAGACCGCAGTTGGAAACCTGGAAGCACTGGACGACCGTTTCGCCCTAGTATGGGACTCCTCAGCAGTGCGCATCTACGATCTCGCTCCCCGCGAGATTCGAACCCAGGACGTATCGGTCTCGCGCCAGGCGCCTAACCAACTAGACCACTGAGCCGGAATCCAATGGTGTTAGTGTCTTACATCAACCAATCCACGAGATTGCACGACCAAAGTCCAGTGTACTGAGGTAGATACTTGTCTCTACCCGACACGGATTAGCTCCACTGGTCACGGGTTCTCAACAGAACTCCAAGAATTCCCTCACGAAGCTAGTGATTAGTGGGCACATGTTAAACGTATTCGAACGACATACTATCATCCAATGGCAAACGGAATGGTTGAATACCCGCATAGGCAGTTATAAGCGTTTTATACATCTGTCATTGTCAACAACGATTGAGCTAATAAGCTTCCTCTAGTAATGTTGAGTCTAAGAACAACAATTAAACAGGACATATGATGTTGTTCAGCTGAGTTGATATATTGAACTACTCTAAGTTTACCTGGAGAATATTTCGCTTCAGGAAAAAGTGTTCCGACAGGTGTAGTCAATCACGTGCAACGTCTGAAGAAGCACATGAACGAGCTAAAAATAACACTTCACAGACTACAACAAAGACGAGTGTTCATACCGCAGCGACTGCATAATAGTACTCATGAATTAATTAGAAGAGATAATGTACATCCACCTCTGCAACCGAATTACGGCGGTTCATTCAAATTGATTACGAGAACAGACGGGACAGTTACCATAGAAAAAGCTGGCAAGACAGATGTAATCATCATCGATCGAGTGAAGAGTGCGTTGTTCACAAAGGTATATAGCTACGATTTCGAATAAATAGTTTCTTTCACCTCATTATATGTGAATTTTGTCTATTCCTCTTCGTTTTGTATGTACACATAAAAAAGTTTGACTTATCAATTCTTTTATCCTACATATTATTTTACATTCGGATGTCAATGTAAATGAACGTCTATAAGCACCACTTCATTATTCTGATCTTCCGTTATCACTTTATCTGGTCTCAAGGACGTATACGATGTCAAGCTCACACGTATTTGCAATATCCTATAGGGTAGTTCTATCATACATCTTACTTTCGCAAGTTTGGATATTCATCATCCAGTTAAATTTAGTATTTTGTCCTTCACAAATACAGGCGCTCTTGGCATATTTAGTTGGAGCTATTACAGTAGCTCGCGTGCGATTGAGTTTGTTCACATTTAATTTGGTTGGCCCATTTACCGAGCAGAGTCATTCGTACAAAAACAGCCTATCTATTTCATTGTACCATTGTACCCATATATTTATTCTGCCAGCCTAATTATTAGTCGTTTCATTGAATCAAGATTTATTCATTTCTGTATGTGTATATAGAAACATTTCAAATCTTCCCCACCATCTCAAAAAACATTTCAAACCTATTAATTTTGACTGGAACGTCCACTTGCTCACTTGCTTTTCGGTATTAGCCTTAAATTCTTGTTTCGCGTATCTGTAATTTTGATAATATGTGCGTCGTGCAAAGAAAAACACAACCAGGAATTCCTACTCGTCTTCCAATTTATAAACCGCATGGGACTTTATCTAGCAACCGTTATCAGGCCGAACTATTTACAATGTTTAAGGATTCTATCGAATAACAGCCACTATGCATCAAAAGAATGAGAAGCAATTCGCAAAAATTTGAAAAGTGGCTATGACAGAATAGTTTGTTGTTGTGAGGATGATCAGGAGACAAACATTTAGTAAGTAATTGCATAAGTATACAGGAAAGTATGTAAATAAGTAAGTAGCTAGGTAGGTGAACATGTAATTCAGAAAGTAAGCGGATAAATAAATACGTTAGTAAATATCTATGTTAAATGACAAAACGTTATTTAACATGTAGTTTCATATGTTTAATTGGTAAATGGTCATACCGTCTGACGTAAAAGTTAGTGCGCGACATATGAATAAATTCTAAGTCAATGATTATGGTTGGATATTCACAATGAATGGAGATCCATTCACCCTGGTTCATATTAGAATATCCTGAATTGTTTATCACTTTCTACAACATTTATCCTCATAATGATGCATATATAAAACCTTTTATGTTATTTACAAGGTTATACTTAAAGTATTTGATAGAATAGTTATTTATAACAGGGGGAAACACAATTGTTTTGAACAAACCTTGAAATTCCTTTGCAATTGATTGATTAATAAGATCCAGTTATTGTCAGCGTAGTGAACCCGATAAAATCCACCTTGTTTTACATTCAACAAATACCAGTCGTCTGAGTTTATGTTCATTGTTTGATTCATTTTGTCTTATGGAAGCGAGGAATAATGAAATAATTCATTAATATTACAATATTGGCAAATACGTATGAATGAGAACAAACAGTTAAAGCTGAATAAGGGCGTGATATTTCAGTAATAATTTTCCCTCATCTGTTTAGAAGTTGAGGGGTGGTAGAACGTTTTCTTTTATATGAGGCGCCAAACACGCCTCAGAACAAATTAGTGCTACACTTGTTGGATAAGACAATTGTTGCTCTTTATCGAAAAAGGCTCGTCAACTCGACCGTCTAGCTTCAGAACGTGACGCAAAGTGTGTACAGGTATGTGTAGCGTATAGCGTAGTAATTATACTGATGAAAACGAAATATGGTATTTCTTACTGTTCACCATCCACACAATATCAACATTTGTCCAGTCCACCGTTTGTGCTGACCCATAGGTGATTGGTATTATCCAGGGGTGTCTGAAAGAAGCAAAACACATAATAATGAATATTAAAAGCTACCAAATTATAAATATTATATATAAAAACAGGAACTTTGATAGAGTGCCATAACAAAACACTTGTTGATAATGCTAGTTGATCGATAGGGTTCGAGTTGGATTTCAAACATAAATACAAAAGATTGTTTGTTGGCCCGATCCACTACTAAATATTTCTTCCCTTACGCTTGTTGCCCCACCTTGTGAAGGAGCCTAGACAGACTACCGGAATTCTCCATCCAACTCCGTCATGGATAATCCACTACAATTCATTCCATCTCCCTTACATCTTTTTCATGTCTGCTTATGATTCTTGACTCAGTTTAATGTGTTTTATTCCCCTTTACCGTTTCTATTCAGGATTCCAAATTAGTACCTGCTTCGTGATGAAATCCGATGATTTCCACAATGTATTTTCTATTAATTTCCAACATCTATTCCTAATTTCTTATTTATTTGAAAGCTGGATTTTTGTCTTTCACAGTAGACTGTTGCTGTTGGTATCTAGTTACCGGATATTCTGTATCTTGTGTAGATGGTTATTTACAAATATTTGTGGTGTAGTACATGACCGAACTTTACAGAATCCAATTTGTTGATCTTGAAGTTGAGCTTCTACTGAAACTTTCATCAGTCTAGCAACACTATGTTCTACAATAAATCTAGTACCGGCAAGAATGTGATGCCTCTGTAGTTCTTACATTTTCTCAGACCTCCTATATTTTGTATCTTGATGTGCTATTCTTATTTTCCAGTTTGTCGGTAGCAATTGTTCTTTCTCTCTAATTTTCCTGAATAGAACGTGAAGCATATTTGCAGTTACTTTTATGTCTGATTTCGATGTTTCAGCTGGTATATTTTCAAATCCTAAGGCTTTCCCACATTTGATTCTTCTGATGATCAACTTGATTTCTTCGATCATTGGTTGAGTGACATGTATAGGATGATCTGCAGGTGGTGCTTTGAAGTCTAATGGATCCACTGAAGATGGCTTATTCAAATGTTCCTGAAATTGTTCCTCCCATCTGTTCCTCTGTTCTTAAATCTTTTCTTTACTACAAGATGCCAGATGTATAGACTTTTAATAGTTATATTAACAACAAAGAGAAAGTAACGCCCCCTTTCTGTGAGAAATAATTTTGTTTATAATTAGTAAACTCAACCGTAGTTGTGTGAAGTGAACATTGATATTTTGAGGATGATCGTATTCGGTTCGTAAAAAGGGTAGTCGCCGTTTTGTTAGTTACTTAGAATGAAATCATATATAGTGTAACAGAAGTGACCCCATGCACTCGTTTTCTATATTATGATTTCAATTTAAACCTACATATGTTTCAACAGCATACATTGTATGAGAAGGGGTTTTGTGGATATTAAATTTATAAATCATGCCTGAAATAATAATAGGAAACATTTTAGTTTGGCCGTTAGGCAGTGGTACACCGAATGTTAATAACTCGTGTGGATGTTGATGAATCCCGTTCAATAACGCTTTTTGCCAGACAAAGTTTAACAGATACAATAATTTGACAACTGACATGGAATAGAAATAATATTTATGTGTTTGAAATGATGGTGTAATCCAGTATTTTGAAGTTGTAAGCAAACCCGTTGTGATCGGTGATATGTCCGCATCTCCTTCTATGACGGTGACTTGATGAATGAAGATAAGGAAGTATATTTATAACAGAAAAACAGGTTTTGGTGGAAAGTTGTACAGTAAACCGAGGTATAACTGGAACCAAACAGTTACATTGAAAAACCGAAACGTGTAGATTGACTACGTTGGCAATTGTTGTCTTTCACATTTTCAAAATCCACGTCAACAACCTTTATTTCTGTGTCACTTAATGCTTGACAAAACGAGAGGCCACTGCAATTCCCATGGCGCGAATCGAAAACACTGAGAATGACGAGGTTAAGAAATAATGATCCCAAAAATACAATAGCGATCCTGGTAGAAAATACACTCATCATAATTGATCGTACACCCATATTGATTACTGATTGGAATAAAATCACACGTATGAAAAATATCCAGAATTTCACTAATCACATAGTGCAGGTCATGCTGAGCAAAGGTCGCTTTATTTTAATACAAGTATATCGTATCTTGAATGAACACCACACTAAAATAAGTTAGTGTTATATCAAGTGAAGCATCACATCGGAAAACTAAACAAATAGTGCACTAAGTAAGAGACGGAAGGTATGTTGGTTGAAAATCACAATGAGTTAAATTTCTATCGTCATTTAAATTGAAGAACGGAAATGATATTAGGAAACCCATTGATAATGTATTGAGAATCATAAAGTGAATAGTTAATTTGCAAAGTGTCAATCAATTATCTGGAGCTTCATTGTTGTTTCGTTCCCACACTAATCATTCTCTGTTCACCTTCTCTTCTCTTCAATCTGCTGAACATTCAGCCGCCAGGCATTTCACTCTCACTTGATGACACACGCTACATATATCCTTCGACATCACTAGCACTCAACACAATAACAAACATTGCATACATTACAAGCTCACTTTTCTTCATATAAAATCTCTGAATACGGATGTTGTCTAAATTAATATATAGTTCACTTACTCACGATTTGTTTGAGATGACTTGTTACCATAGTGTTGAAAGAAACGCTTCTGCTCAAAACAAAACACATTCGACCCATTTCTCTTCACAATCACTAGTGGATAATTCCTCTGCTTAGTCCAAGAATCCATAATAAATTCAATATCTAAATGATTTTCTTGAGTATTCCATTCCTGATATGCAATTAAAACGAAATTATGATTAGGTTATTAGCCTTATATTTTTGAATAATAATTTTGCAGAATTGCAAAAGTTAACATGTTTCTATAATAGTGGTCAATATAACTTTGTGAAATGATATACAGTGAAATTCACTCGTTTTTCAAGACCATGCACCATAAATTCATTTAATGAGAATGTAATAGGTGGATGAATAATTTAATGCAGCATGGTGAAGCGTGGTATGTGGCCATGGATGTCACAAACAGAAAAAGAATTATTAGGATTATATCATTGTAATTACAACCTAGTTAATTTCGATGAAATGACTCAATGGAGGAAACCTGAACTACCGCTACCATAGAGTTTAGCGTTTCACAGAATAAAAACAAAGAATAAATAAGAACAGTGTTGAAGAACAGGTATTACATGAAGATATGAAACACGAAATTATTCATTAGATCATACCATAAATATCTGAATAATTTAAAATATATTTTAAGACAACACTTATCTTCGTTAACGAAAAAATACATCACGATCAAGAGAAATCATGAAACAAATCCAACAACAAAATGTATCGCATCAAATGCATTCGTATTAATGTATTCACCACCAAATACTTACTTCAGATAATGCCTTCCATAAATCCTTTTCATCTGTGTTCTTATATTGGTTTTGAATTAAATATCTCTTAAATAAATACAGAAACACACATTATATAGGCGTTTCAGGATTACAATTTGCAATTAATCATGAATAAAATTATAGAATTTAAACCTTCTAGCCAGACTTTATATTTTCGAGACTGCGTTTATATTCATACATATTCAACCACGTTAATGCAAGTGATGACGGAGGATGACAGATAAACTGTACTTGCTTAGGTGGGATATAGCTTCAATATAAAATCTATCACTTATAACGGTGAGTGAAGTCTGTTTAACATAATTTGTTTGCAACGACATTTACACCGACTTGATATAAAATATCTCACTAATTTACTTATAGTGAATATGGCTTATGAGTTGGTCAGACAACATTTAATTTTAAAAGCATTTTCCGATTGTTCATGACGACATACGAGTTTAAGCTTTTTATTAAGTAGAGTACCTGTTGATAAAAACGTGTTATAGCGTTCCAAGGAGTACTTGTGTTGAAGACTGTAGTGATCAATCGATACTGTGTTGTGTTATGTTACGTCGTACTGAGTTATAGCTAAACAAATGATATGAGGACTCTCCGTATTGGATAGTCTCGAAGAGAACTTCTAAAATACTTAGTCAACGAAAAGAAATCAGTTCACTATTGAATGTGACCGTTGAGACTAGATTATATGACACTCATTTACAACAAAATAACCACTGTCAACGTACTTTTACACCGTTTTGAAACGCACTACGGCCCATGAATTTCTCCATCATCCAAACCAAGGAGGCGCCCTGTGAATTATCGAATGCAATGTAGAATATTAACATATATATGAAACACGGAATGAATGTGTAGGTAAGCTAGATTAGTCAATCAGTTTACTTGTGTCCAGTTGAAGATAGGATGCAACAAAGTGAAGATGCACTTGGAAATATAATTGTTTTTGAATAGAATATGTAACATGGTTAAACACTGAATACTTTCACGTTGTAATGGATTCACACAAAGTGGAAGACTACCGTGTACTATGGTTTGGTTAATTCACATAAGAACTTCGGAGAATTATAATTACGTGTGGGTTTTTTCATAATGCTGAATTAGAAATCGTTTCGTTTACTTGGTCTTACAAATGTTATACAATCATTCACTGAAATTTTGTTGTGTAATCTTCTTAAAACATACACAATTCTGTTAATTGCAAATATGGGAGAGTGATGAACTTCATGATTTTGAACGTCAAGACGTCACATACATTTTGAGATTCATCAAACATATACACAGTTTTATAGATTACCTATAAGGTATGTGTTAAATTTATTATGAATAACAAGTTTTTCAATATCAAAAGTATTAGTTCGAGTCCCAGAACACTTACACAAAATAATTACTGTTCGTCGATAAATGATGTGCTTATTGACGATATTGCAGTTCTCAAAATGTTCAGTCACAGATTCAATTGGTTTATTCGACTAGATGTTTGTGAAACCAGTCTGATATACTCAGATTTATACTACGTTTATTTATCTGAGTGTTGGACAAAAGCCGTTAATCTATTTGATCAACTATAATCTTGAGAAGTCAGAGGTATGAAAAAAGTTCAATCCAAATTGTTCAAGCAGTAAAGGAGAGTTTTAGATAGTCATTTTCACGTACAGCAATTACTGAGTATTGCATGTCCGGTTAGTTGCTGTTACATCCCACAGTTATGATTTCACTACCTGTTACAGTTTGTTTATTGTTTTATTTGACCACCACATTCAATTCATTTTGTTTAAGAAAGATTAGATGGAAATGGGATTTTCTTAGTGTTGGGATTTTCACAGTTAAACTTATCAGTCAATCTAAGTTAAACCGCCATTAAAAACCTGTAAGCTCTGGATGGTCGTTTGGTCCCGGTATAGATCTCTTCAGCAGGCATTTCAGATTTTTAATGGTGGTTCAGCTCAGAGTGCCTCGTGAATTCAACTATGAAAGTCTGATTTGTCACTTCATTCTACTAAAAGTGCTTTTATTAAAGTTGAAATGATGAAAGAGAGATAATTGTACAAGTGCCGTTGTAGCAGAAACACCTCAAGTTACTCGTTGTCCGAAATATCATTCTTCTGTTTGATATCATGATGGCTTAGATGATCAATTAAATAGTATGAAAAATTAAAATACATTTGAGAAAAAATGAACAGTCAATACAGAACTGACCTTACTATAGGTGAATATGTCAAACATGCTTTTGATTTGTGTTGTGGTATTGACTGAATAAATGACTGGTCTTGATTTCATCGACGTATCTCTATCAAGCACACGAATCAATTCGTCCAGTATGAATAGTTCATCCTATTCATCAAAGAATGAAATCAATTTTATTGATAACATTATTATCCACAATATAATCATAAAATGGTCCAGATTAAATCAAACATTCGCAATTATTTAATAAAAGGTCTGAAATTATCCTGGTGTTTGTGAATTCTTCAAATGCCATTTGAAAATTTATTAAATTCTCCAGCTTCGTTTAAAAAAATCCATTTAAAAATTTCTGATTCACAACAGCAAGTACAAGTTCTATGAAAAACATTTCTGAAATGACAAGTGACATGTGCAAAATGAAACAGCGAACTGATAATTTCCTCAAAGAAAACACTCAACTTACTACTTTCCAATCAGGATGTAGTAACTGTACTCCGATGTATTCGAAAAATGTTGCAAAGCCTTCGTTTAACCACAAGTTATCCCACCATTTCATTGTCACCAAGTTTCCTAACCACTGAAAGAAATGTGTTTAAATATAAAGCTGATAGACGTAACATATTTGGATTGTTCAATCTATTTCGATATTTACATGAGGTCATATACTTATTTTGTTAAAAATGATGCTTGTACATCGCAATGAAATCTTAAATTCGGTTCCTGCATCCTAGTTGTAAAGGAGTTCCGAATAGTATAGTGAAAATGAGTAACTCATGGAGTCCAACTACAACTAGTGAGAATTGATTACATGAGAGCAGTTATTGTGCTATATTTTCATTATAACCACATGTAAAATTTCGAAAGTGGTGGCTTCTTGTGATGTTTGAATGAACCAATGATACCTTTGTACTTGTTGAATGCTCGATTTCGAATTCTAAATACAGTACATTCGTTGTGCCTGTGTCTTCTTAATTCAATTGCGTTAATCCTGGGATTCCTAATTCATACTATAATTAGAATACTATATTGGCGTCGTGATGGAACCTGCAATGGAAAAGTTGGATATTCATTCAACTCCTGAAGCTATTGAGGATTATTTGGAAAGGTTCGAAATTTGGAGAATGACCAAGAAAGATGTTAAAGGTGAGAAAGTTGTGGCACATTTTCTGACATTCATTGGGAGAGAAGCGTACAGCTTATTAAAAACTTTGGCATATCCAGAAAAACCTATCTCACTGCCTTATGCAACTCTTAAAGAGCTATTGTTAAGTCATGTAAAATGCACCAGTTTTGAATGCCGTGAAAGGGCGAAGTTTCATAAGATGGTTCGTCAAAATGACCAAAGGGTTCGGGAATTCATCCTTGAATTACAGAAACAAGCTGCCAAGTGTAATTTCGGTGATCAACTTCATGTGCAATTGAGAGATCGATTAATTGCAGGAATTAACATACCGAGTTTGGAAAGAGAGCTGTTAAGAATGCCAAACTGTTCCTTTCAAGATGCTAGAACTGCATGTATTAACTACGAAGCAGTCAATGAACTTGATATCCAGTCGATGAACATTTCTAATACTTTGCTTAGTCGTCGTGATGAACTACAATCTCAGGGTCAATCAAACTTGCGTTCATTTAACAGTGATTCCTATTCTCGTGTAAATATGAAAGGTGTTTCAACGAGGAATTACAAAGCAAATCACAAAGGTGAGATGAAGTTTGGTAAATGTTTATCATGTGGAAAGTTTCATGCTCGCAATTCATGTGTATTTCGTAATGCTAAATGTTTTAAATGTGGTAAGGTAGGACACATTCAGTCAGTATGCAAAGCTACTGTCCATTTTGCTTCGAGCTGTACTAAATCTTGTAATTTAAATTTCAATAATTCGGATGTTTCTAGTGATCATTTGTCTTTGTCCACTATTTCGAAAGGTAATGCTCATATTCAGAAGCGATTATATACATCGCTTGGTTCATTTCATGACTTTATTCTGGACACAGGCAGTATAGAGTCCATTATTTCATTCAAGAACTTGAAAGCTTTAGATCCTAACGTTGTTGTACGACCCACTGAAGTATCAATACTGGGGATTACTGGACACAGACTGCCCATACGAGGATGTTGTGAATTGCTAATCAGAGATGATAATTCTTCATACATACCTTGTGAATTTTTAGTTAGCGAAACAGGACTGTCAATATTGGGTTTAAAGAATTTGAAAAGGCTTAAGGTGGAGTTGTCCTTCTTAGTTTCTAAAGAAAATTCTGATACTTTACTTAAAGATTTGATAGCTATGTGTGCTAAATGCAGTGGAGGTATGAAAATTAAGCCTATAAAACTTCAAGTACAGGGTGATCCCGTCTTTCTTAAAAGACGAATAATTCCTTATGGTCTTCGAGAAGCAGTACATAAGACATTAAACGATTTGTGTGTGAAAGTCATAATTGAACCAATCCAGTCTTCAGCATGGGGTACTCCTATCGTTACGCCACTGAAGTCGGACGGCAAGACCCCTAGAATTTGCGGTGACTATAGATTAACTCTGAACTCCCGTTTGTTGAAGCAAACGTGCACGACGGTAGAAGCTGAAGATATTCTAAATCGACTTCATGGTTCTAAAGTGTTTTCGAAAGTTGACCTAAAAGATGCTTATCTTCAAATTCCTTTAGATGAATCTTCATCTATTTTGACGACAATTAACACTCCTTTTGGTCTGTTCAAATACAATTTCCTTCCATTTGGTCTAAGTTGTTCTCCAGCCATATTTCAGGAAGTTATGAATAAAGTAGTTAGTGATCTTGAAGGTGTTGAAGTTTATCAAGATGATCTCATTGTTCATGGCTCTAATAAGGTGGTTCATGACCAGAGACTTATTGCTTTATTGCGACGTTTAATTGAGAAGAATATAACAGTGAATCCAAATAAGTGTTCATTTTGTGTATCTAGTTTTGAATGCCTTGGATACCTAGTTGATGGTAATGGTTTTAGACCAGATATGAAACGACTAGCTCCACTGACTAATGCACCGTCTCCGAAAAATCTTACAGAATTACGTTCACTAGTGGGTGCTCTTCAATACTATTCCCGTTTTATTCCTAATTTTTCTTGTCGTGCAAATTGTTTATTTAATATTTTAACATCAAATTCATTCAAATGGAGTGAGGAACAAGAGTCATGCTTACGAAGTCTGCTGAAGTTTCTTCAAAGTGATGCTGTTCTTCGAACGTACTCCCCTAATGTACATTCTGTGCTTATTACTGATGCATCACCTGTGGGAATTGGTGCACTTTTGGAACAGGAAGGTAGACCAGTTATTTGTGTTTCACGCAAACTTACTGTTACTGAACAAGGTTATTCACAGACTCAGCGAGAAGCATTAGCTGTGTTTTGGGCTGTTAAAAGACTTCATAAATATTTATTCGGAAAGAAATTCACTATTGTTACTGATCATGAAGCTTTAAAGTTTATTTATCATCCCGAAAAATCCTTAGCACGTTCCTCAGCAGCTATGGTTCAGCGATGGAGTATTGCTTTGAGTGCATATGACTATACGGTTCAGCACAGAAGTGCCAAACAGATTCAACATGTTGATTACATTTCTCGACAGTCATTACAAGATAAACCTATTAATACTTCGGATTGTTTGTTAGTGCAACCTTTACCAGTGAGACGTTCAGATCTCATTAGAGAAACTCGTAGATATTTTGGATGTATACTCAGTGCTATAAGGAAAGGTTGGAATGCTAATTTGAAACGGAGATTTCCTATCTATTTTTCAAAGCGGGATGAGTTATCTACTACTCCTGATGGTATTCTGTGTTTAAACGATCGTGTTGTCATTCCTCCTTCATTGCGTAAATCTGTTCTTGAAGATCTTCATAGTGGTCATTTAGGTGTTGAGAAAATGAAGTCCTTGGCAAGGCTCACATGCTGGTGGCCAGAGATAAATGCAGATATATGTCGTACGGCAAACAATTGTGAGAAATGTCATCAGTTGAAAAATCATCCTTCGAAGTGGGTGCCATGGCCAGTATCGTCTGAGGCCTGGCAGAGGATTCATGCTGACTATTGTGGACCATTTCTTGGGAAATACTACGCACTAGTAGTCATTGATTCTTTTTCAAAGTGGCCTGAAGTTTTTTTCACAACTTCACCAAATTCTGATTTCACAATACAAGCATTAAGAAAGGTGTTTAGTCGAGAAGGTGTTCCCTTGGTGTTGGTGACTGATAATGGCTCACATTTTGCTGCAGATGCAGTCACTACCTGGTTGAACGGTATAGGGTGCAAACATCTATTTACTGCTCCCAGACATCCGTGTTCTAATGGTCAGGCAGAGAATTTTGTTAGGACATTAAAGACTGCTATTGATTCTATAGCCCCCTCAACATTTAATGAGCTGGAGAGGGGAGTAGATACCTTTCTATTGCAATATAGAAATGCCAAACATTCGGTGACGAAGGAGACTCCAGCGAAGCTATTGAAAGGAAGAATTCTTCGGTCGAATATGAGATGTTTGGAGTCTTCAGAAGGTACATATTTTCGGGGAAATGATCTTCGACCATCTACGGGTATTGTTCTGAAGAATGTCGGAAAATCGATGGTGCGAATTCTAGACATCGATGACTTAAGTACACACAGTCGACATGTAGATCAAATACAATTTCAGGAACCAGGTGAGTCAGTTCCAATTTCGATTGTTAATTCTAATGCTAATGAGCATATTCTAGATAATACAGAATCCTTATCCAATACAATGTCAGACAGACTGAGGATGAATTTGAGAAGAAGACGTACGATTGATTACAAACACCTAGACTCCAATTTAAGCTGTGGCGGATGTGGTGTTTGAATGAACCAATGATACCTTTGTACTTGTTGAATGCTCGATTTCGAATTCTAAATACAGTACATTCGTTGTGCCTGTGTCTTCTTAATTCAATTGCGTTAATCCTGGGATTCCTAATTCATACTATAATTAGAATACTATACTTTTCTTATTAGTAAACCGAATTCTGATAATAATGGCGTATGAGGTGATGAATGAGCATTAGAAATTTAAGAAATCACTTGGATCATTTGAATAATTATTTTACTTAACACGTCTATCAACAATGAACAGGGACTGAATTAAGATAGAAACGTGTATTACTGGAGTCTGACCTAATGAAGTGGGCAAATTGAGTTTATCGAAATGCTCAGATGCCTTGTGCAACCGAAATCAACAACGAATGAGTTTTTGTCAGTTTTCCAAGTATGTCAGTTTATGATACAAACGATCTGGAAATTAAAGAGATGTAATTTGAAGTAAATGTTTCATTTTCATTCACGATCATACCTGGTGAGCAAGTTCATGTGAAATAACGAAAGTCACGAGGATTTGGGATGCCACTGAATAATTTTCTGGGTCCCACAACAATAAGTTTTCTCTATACGTTATCAAACCCCAGTTTTCCATTGCCGTTATTGAAGAGTTAGGAATCGCAATCATATCTGGAAATATGATGGAAAATAAGTTTGAAATGTACGCGGTTCTAATGACATATTATCACACTAATGTGCCTAACAAATAAACGGACTAAACATGAACATCCAAATGTATGAATATATTTACACCAGTTAAATATTTGAATAAGTTTATTTACATTCAATTCACTCCAGTTCAAAATATAACTAGTGTCCTTAAAATAACATATGTTTTAGTCGAATGTGTATTTTTTAAATTATTTATATTATTAAACGGAAAAACATTTGTGTGAAATACCCACCCATTTTAGGAAGTGAATAAGGGATGCCAAAATAGTCTTCAAAGTATCCCAATAATTTTATGCCAATATCAAGTGCATATTCAGCTGATCGAATTTTATCCGGTCTTGCCCAAACAGTGAACTAAATGAAAGAATTATTTTATCCAGAAATGTATCAGTCTTATGAAAAAATTAAATGAACTTTAGGTCATTATTGCTAACTTTGATAGAAGAGACTGTTTTCAGTGTCACGAGTGATTCAACCACTTTGATTTGATTGAAACACAGAGAACTCAGCATTGTTAAAACAATGGCTTGTACCATCAAACAATACTTGTGCTTTTGAATACATATATGGAACCTCTAGGCATTTTGTTTGAGATTCTATTATCATTGTGGAGTTGTAAATGTAATCACACAATTTTGAAACACCGAGGAACTGCTACTGCTTCACAGTGAATGCTAGTATGTATTTAACGTGGATCTATGAATATCCAGAACCGTCTCGAATAATCGGTTGCATGCAATCACATGATGGTTCTTCCTGGATATACATGATTTCGATACATTACAAAAGTATTGCATGGGAGAGTTATAAAACATCTGTTTAATTGATAACACTCACGTTTCGTCCTCTATTGTCTGTCCTCTGAATATTCGAAAACTGTGAAACTACAAATGCCAACAGATATGTGGACATTTTCACACTGGTGTTATACCTGTCGACATGCCAGTTATCGTACAACACTTCCGTACTTTCCAAATTCATGTTTGAAAGCGAATGGAAATTTTCGTCGCGTACAATATTGACCTGAAAGACACAAACGTGAGAAATTTTTTCTGGAATAATAAATGGCATGTTTAACCAATTGAAAAAGTTCAAGATTCTTATCGTGCTTATCTAGCAATATATCACATATCCACCTGGAAATCCTTAACTCATGTGGAAACTAATTTTCTAACTGAGTTGATGAATTACTCATTAGCCCATCGTGGAAGTGTTGTCTGACTGAAATGCGTTGCATCCTGAATAGACTATATCTTCACATGCACTTGGATGCTTGTTTAGGAAAGATGGTGTCGTGTTTTATTGAGTACGATCTGCGAGTGCCTGATATTCATCTGCAGTTTTTGTCGTGTACAAGCGATGAAACGAATATAAATATGATTCCAATCAGAACTCATCAACACTGTGTACATAATCATCGTTTATAGAAAGCTTTGGGGTATGATATATATGTTAGAGGTTCTTGTAACTTTGATCTGCGCATCAATTTATTGCAAAAGGGTTATGTTTGTTATTATATAGGCTAACGATCTGGAAGAAAATACGTCATTTTAGATTGTCACTGTTTGTACGTTGACTAGGACAATTTCAGTAGCTTCACATACCAAGCTTGTACATGAGTTTTAGGACATTTGCCTTTTACCAGATAACCATTTGCATTAAAAAATATGTGATGCACATTAAGAAATATTGAAGCGTGTGGATAAAACGAAGTCATGAACTCATTTTTTCAATCTAACTAATAGTGTGTTTCATAACATGACTGAAGTAGGCTAAGCTCATTATAATCGTCAAATAGAGTTTCGATTATCACACACACAACTTTAAACCACAAAGTATCACTTGGTTCAATATTTTTGCGTTTTAAAAGACTGGCCCAGATTTGCAGCAGGCCACAAATCATGCAGGAAAAAATGAAAATGAAAAAATTTTAAATAGACGTCAAATACCTTGAATTTTGCTTTAAATTCTGGTTCATCCCAACATGGTAATATACGCCTGGCATCACTTGGTTCTAAATCAGTACTTGCCACATATCTGAAGTATATATAACGAAGAACATATGTATACAAGTACTTATCTCATTTCCGAAAGGTGGAGATTTATAAGGTGCTTTCGAAGAAAGAGAACTGTCTTGAAAGGAAAACCATGCCCAACATGCCACCTGTGATTCATTCAAATGTTTCGGTTATTGTTGTGTCATTCACAGTGTTGATAACTAAATCTACACAGTTATATTTTCCCTGACGTGGAAAGTTTTGATTCATATTTTTTGATGACTTATGAATTTGTTATCATTACGTTTATACTGTTTCAGAATTCTAGAGTTAGGCAGTAAGCAATGCTCAAGCATACATGTTCATTCATTTGCAACAATAATAAAGGTAGAATGATATAAATATTTCGTTATTGTACGAATAACTTTGTCCGATAATAAGTTAACAAAAGAGCTTAACCAAATTAAATGTGGACAAACTCAGTTGCACGTGATTTGCTATACAAGAATGCTGATTATAATAACGATATGTTGACCAACGGACATGTCGCACTTCGATATACATACATTATGTTCTCAGAGAATTTTCATTGTCGAGTTAGCATTGAATAAAAACATTTCTTGACAAAAACACATTTATCAGAAGGGGTTTGTGGAGATTTTTAGAAATTTTCACAGATTGAAATCGTGAGTCAATTGAAGCTAGACCACCATTGAAAACCTGAAGCACTGGACGGCCGTTTCGTCCTAGTATGGGACTCCTCAGCAGTGCGCATCCACGATCCCGCACCAAGCGGGGCTCGAACCCAGGACCTACTGGCTTCGCGCGCGAGCACTTAACCATTAGACCCTTTCTGATAATAATCATCTGCTCACTAGTGAGTGACTTCAAGAGATACTCCTGAAGTTCTAGTGGGAAGCCGCGGAGTACAACCAGGTCTGTTGTGAGATATCAGCTCACTGAAGACAATGGCATATGGTGGCGCAACTTCGTGGATTGGTTGAAGTTAGACATTAACACCGTTGGATGCCGGCTCAGTGGTCTAATGTTAAAGTGCTGGCGCGCGAAGCTAGTAGGTCCTGGGTTCGAGCCCCGCGTGGTGCGGGATCGTGGATGCGCACTGCTGAGGAGTCCCATACTAGGACGAAACGGCCGTCCAGTGCTTCCAGGTTTTCAATGGTGGTCTAGCTTCAATTGACTCACAATTTCATTCTGTGAAAAACACATTTAGTCAGATGACAAACTTTACTAATGACTAATTAGTCTGTAAAATTTCCTCTCTTTGGGTTTTGGAAGGTCAGTGGAGATCTGTGTAACATATTTATGTTCAGTCAGCGACAACCGATTTGCAATGCATAAAGGTTTACATTTACTGTACACTTAGCCATTATCGTGATTTTTATTGACAAGTAAACAGTGCTTCTGAGAGAGAGAATCTTAATGACAAGCGTTTTTGGACACTAGTTCATAATGAGTCACACATATACTAAGAATTGAAACCATTAGAAAGACATTGCACCAAGCATCTGTGATTTATTTCGTTTACAGTCGTTAACCGTCACATTTTGTCTTGAAGAAATGATTAAGTGTGCCCATTGACTAACAGAAGAATGTGGTAGATATGGCAGATAAAGTCAATGACATACAGATTAACGACGTGGAGTAGTAGTAGGATTTTCAAGTCACTACAAATTGGATACAAGTTTTGATGTAACAAGCTTACACTAAACACTAGAGAGACTCAATAAATATAAGTTCTATCTCACGATGTTCAGTATTGTGATATTAGTCAGTAAACATTACTCTTCCTCATATAACGCTCATCAACCGCTACCAAATAAACCTGCACACGTATACCTTAAATCGAGACTCACTTGTAAATCCCATTTTCCAAATATCTGCTAATATACAGTCCATCAGAATCATACTTCATATCAGAACGAAACTGTCCAAATGTCAGGTTGTAATAAGTATATGGTTGCAAAGGCGTTTTGAGTTTAATTCGATAGCACTCAGCATCTTTAAAATAACTAACGTCTTCTATTTCAATGATAGAACTTGTTTGATTTTGTTCATGAAGAAGAGACATCTGTTTTTAAAAAAGCAGAGACGAGAATTATTGTAAAGTGACAATATTTATATTTGATCAGAAAGAACATTTACATTTTGAATAAATAGTACTTAATTTCCGTTTGTTTGGAATGAAAATTTTCATTCATCATGAGGAGTTTTAAGCGTAGGGTTAGCCACTACATGCCACAGAAAACAACCTCGGTAAAATATGACTATCCAGAAAAAGGTCATTGCAACCATTCAAACTCTGGTCTCTTATTTGAGAAATCTTTACCTAGAATAGTTATGACGCCTCATAGTGAATACCGAGATTCCGCGGATGTCACGAGGACTCTTTACCTTCCTTCAAACAGAGCAACAATTAGTAAAGGTACATAGGATGAACGAACAGTGTGGGACACCAGGAGGAATGGTGAGATAGCTACGAAAATGAGGAGATACTGCATGATGTTCCTCGAAATCGATTATACATACTGGACTCAATCTGCATAGAAATTTAAAAGTTCTATTCTTCTGAGCTAAAAATTGGCGAACTGCTACAACCAACATCAAATGAGTACACGTATCTGTGAACAATCGTCTGCACAATATTACGAATATCCGTCGACTGGGTAACATCAGTAACAGCTTACTCTAAGGGACAAGAAGGCTAGAACATTTATCTTAATTAAACTGTTGAAAATGCAGTAATGATGATATTTTCAAGTGATCAGTTTTGGACCATAACTGTAGAATCTTACCCCATTCGATAGAATCACTTGGTGGATCACTGAATAAATTTTAAATTTTTCATTCTATTAAGGCATAAATTGCTTATAAATGAAAGTGTATTTTCTTGTTTTTGATGCTGGTTGTTTTAATAAAATAACCTGTTATGTACCGACAAAAATGATGAATGGTAATTTTGGGATCCGTTTGTGGACCAATGCTATGTGTATATTTTCATCGTATAATCGCTAATTAACCAAACTATTCATATTCATGTCTCTCTTATCATAAGCTTCATTTTACTCTATAAACTGTTATTATACAATTTTCCATTCTTGAATTATACCCTGTCTATTATTCACTACTTCCCTCATTCACAGATACATCTGGCTAATTATTGTACAAATGTTGTTTCATATTTGATTGTTACATTTTGGTCTGTTGGGTTGGTATATAAACTCAGTGTGTTTGAAATATAATGATTCATATCGCAGAGACTCGGATGGTTCTCTGCGCTGAGTCGGCTGGGCTAGGCAGGAAGCAGGGCCAATCAAAAATCTAGACTGCTCATACGGGTTTATGTGTCATTAGTCCGATCGATAAGTCACTTCTCCCTAATTGGCGGTCACACGATATAACAACCTTTAGTTAACATTCTATGATTAGGCAATTGTCACTTTTATTTCCTTTCATACAATTCTACTTACAAGTCGTACAAGTTGTTTTAAATGATTTAAGAAGTGTAATGATGTGATCGAGTCCTGACGAGGATAATAATATTGAAAATTAATTAAGAGTGAGTTTTTACTTAAACTTTACTCTAGCTAAAATTCTGTTTGAATCACTGTCATATAAACCGTTATAAATGATGATGTTGAATCACGTTTTGTTCAAAAAACTTTTCAACAAACGATGACATAAATGTAGGTGAATGTTTCGTTTTTATTGTAGATTCTTGCAATACATGGGTTTGCATTTGATTTTATCCTCATTTAAAAAAACGGATTATTTTCCAATAAACCTTAGTTTAAAAACTATAGCTTACATGGATTTGATCCAAGCTCACATTCAGATTATCGGCTGCATGTACGAAGAACTCGGTTGTCGACACATTACAGAAAACTTTTATTGTCACAGATCCATTGAAGAAAAATGCTTGTGACTTGTTATCATGCAAATGGACTTGAATTGACAAATCGTAGAGATGTGGAAACAATGTACGTGGTAATCTAAAATCCTCTGATGAATGAATCGACACATTATTGTCATCGCCGATATTTCCAGTTGCACTAGTAGTTAACATATCTAAAACAAACGTTTGAAGTAGAATGAGATTGGTGCATCAGTCCGTATTAATCAATGAGCGATCGCTGTTCACACTGGGTTGAGAGAAAAATGAACGTTTGAAGTTTTTGTAATGAGTCGGTTTGTGGACCTGAAATATGGATTTAACTGCCTCAAGGAGCTTGTAACCTCAACTCACTGTTATGTTGTACTATACTCCGGAAGAACATTAAACCTCTTCCTCTATCATATTTACTTTCAATAAAACCAGCCATTTAACCTTTTTAAAATTTATATTGATGTATTTTGGACCAACAAGAAACTGAAAGCAATATGTGATTGATGTATTTATGGCTTATACTCTTGTTAGTCACTCACAAATTATGTGCGATTATAAAAAATGATGTGCATGACACAATTATCATTTCGTGTCTTTGGGATATTAATCACAATGATGAACATTGAATTAATATGGTGCATTTAGTATGATAATAAATCAGTAAAATCCTTTAGATTACAGTGCGAAAAATTTCATTTGAAACCACACATTTTCTCAATCAACAACTGGCTTTGATTAGTTACAATCATCAGTAATAATGAGATTTGTTTTAAGGATTAGTCGGGTGAAATGCATTCAGTGAGAGTGGTATTATTATGTGAAAATTTGTCAAGCTGTAGAGTGATACCTGGAATCCTGATTTCTGAAGACAAGCTTACCTTCCAGAAATCTCTACAGTATGAGAACACACAATTAAACCTCAATTCTTAAAACCACGTATAACATCATTTTATTGCATTTTAGCAGTATATACATGGGAAAACTGGAGTGATTCAGAGTAACTTAAAGAGAAATAATTACCATGAACTTTCTGAGATACAAATCTGAAGAATATACATCTATATGAATATTTGCGAATCAACTATACTAATAATTTCATCGAATTTCAGCAACATTTCGATGTCCATTCTTGAGGACACCACATAGAAAAGAATAATGTTTCTAACTAAGCGTTGCAATGATTGTTAAATTTTATTGAAGCAATAAACAGATAAGTGTTAGACCACTACTGAAAAAATAAAGTCAGTGGACGGTGTAAGATCCAACCTACGGTTTGGACAGATGAATAGCCTTCCAGGTACGTTAGACACACACCCTTTACCGTCGAAATCAAAACAAGTAATCGGGTAAATAGCACGTGTCTAACATACCTGGAAGGCTCTTCATCTATCCAAACCGTAGTTTAGATCTTACAGTTCTAAACAAATATTACCATCCGGCTATTCAACCAATAATTGTTCAATCAATAAAATCAGTCACAACAAATGAACGTTATCTTATCCTGGCCGGATAGAACACGCAAAAGGAGGAGCAAATCAATATGGCTACCTCCAAGAACAAGTGTCAAGTAAAACAACACAGATGCAGTTCGGGAAGAAACACAAACTTCGTGAATGCGTAAGAAAAACAAAAACTATAATAAAAAATACAGGTATTAACAATTCAAATGTAATCAAAAGACAATAGTGTACAACTAAGGGGATCAATCGGAACAAAGTGCAAATATATACAGGGAGGGATTTTCACAAACACACAAAACATTCAAAATGGATCTTACAGACGGTTGTTTCTCTGTAAAATGGGATATTTCAGGATTTTACATGGACAACCCTGTCTAAGAGAATCGAACTAGAAGAATTCAGTCTTGCGCGCTATCGCATAACCTGTAGACCACTAAACCTGAATCTAATGATGTTTTAAGCTCATCAAAATCGATCCACGGTATTAGAAAACCGGCTTTCATTATCTTTCGCGTGAATCTGACTAAACAGAAAAATCGGTAAATTTTTGAATCATATGGATTAGGGATTCGATTGCCGATCTGAGGTCAACGATGCTGTGACGGATTAAAGAGCACTATATATATCATAATACATGTCACACGATGATATATTTATGCAACGATAATCGTTGAGCTATTATAAAAAACAAACAAATTGATAGTAGATTTTGCTATAACACAGGTAAAAAATTTGAATAAACGTACGTCTGTAAAATGGAACATTAACAACACTCTTTGAATTTGTCAATCCTGAAGCATAATCAGGAAGTATAAATGCGAGTATCAACACAATCAAAATGATAAATGATTTCCTTGTCGGTATTAAAGTTGTGTTTGTTAATGTTTTTGCATACATTGAATGGATACATTGACAGTGATGTGTGGAATGAAATTGTCTTCCATCAGAATTATCCATAACCAACATGTTCACAGAGTTCTTTTGTCTAGATAAATTTTAATCAACGACAATACTATCCATGCGTTCCATACAGTGGTTGGCACAGTTTTCTTTTATAGATATCTTGCTAACAAAGGACAAATGTGATCACAAACAAAACGTGACTGGTTGACAACGTTTGCAATTATAAACAATTTCACGCTTACAGATCGTGATCTAAAGTTTAAGAATCACATCAACAAAATGAGACTTGCCTAGTGAACTGCTGACCTTTAAACGGTGTTAAGTTACATGACATTGGTCATATGCAATTTTGAATTGATTGCTGGACTTTTATTGTTTCTTTCCAAAGCATTTGTGAATACTGGTCATTGTTATCTTAAACACCCTACATTTCTCCTTTCGGTTTATGACTGTTTTATAGCACGAGGACTATGTAGCCGACTTCTTGTTTATTCATCTTTTTCTTCGAGTTTCCATCAAGTTTCGTTACTGTGGAAATGTCAATACCAACACATATTGTAAATATTTTCGTGTGTCCAAACTGAATAAATGTGAATGTTCAATTTGATAAATAAGTTGCATCGAACTTAGATGTAAACATATCTTGAGCACTAGTGAAGATGTTACTCAAAATGTTGTTCACAAAAGCCTCGATCACATGTTAAACCTGCATCACTCAGAAGAATAAGCATGATGAACTCACTGATTATGTCAAACGTGATCAACGAATGGAACAGTCACACTCTCATAATGTTACTCTGAACAACTCTACGCAGCAAACACTAATCATCCCACATTTATATCAGCGTAAACACAGAACAAGTGTTTCTTGTCAAAGTGATTTGGAAGTTCGATGCAACTTATTTATCAAACTGAACATTCACATTTATTCAGTTTGGACACACGAAAATATTTACAATATGTGTTGGTATTGGCATTTCCACAGTAACGAAACTTGATGGAAACTCGAAGAAAAAGATGAATAAACAAGAAGTCGGCTACATAGTCCTCGTGCTATAAAACAGTCATAAACCGAAAGGAGAAATGTAGGGTGTTTAAGATAACAATGACCAGTATTCACAAATGCTTTGGAAAGAAACAATAAAAGTCCAGCAATCAATTCAAAATTGCATATGACCAATGTCATGTAACTTAACACCGTTTAAAGGTCAACAGTTCACTAGACAAGTCTCATTTTGTTGATGTGATTCTTAAACTTTAGATCACGATCTGTAAGCGTGAAATTGTTTATAATTGCAAACGTTGTCAACCAGTCACGTTTTGTTTGTGATCACATTTGTCCTTTGTTAGCAAGATATCTATAAAAGAAAACTGTGCCAACCACTGTATGGAACGCATGGATAGTATTGTCGTTGATTAAAATTTATCTAGACAAAAGAACTCTGTGAACATGTTGGTTATGGATAATTCTGATGGAAGACAATTTCATTCCACACATCACTGTCAATGTATCCATTCAATGTATGCAAAAACATTAACAAACACAACTTTAATACCAACAAGGAAATCAGTTATCTTTTTTATTGTGTTGATGTCCGCAGGTTTTCTGTCAATGATTTCTTTGATGGTATCCGATGGCATTTAGACAACTGCATTCTTTTTTATAAATGAATAACCCTTTTACCATCCGAATGAAGTACCGAATCGACGAAGTCGAAATTACGGATACAGGTTGTTAGGATTTTATTGGACAATAAAGACTGGGATAGAGAAACAAAACATTCGTTGTCGAACAAAATTTCGGCGTAAGCGGATATAGATAGCTACATGGATCTCTCAAGATAACACCATGGAGAACCATATCACTGATCAAGTGATCACTGAATGACGTGAGAACCAAGAGATGAGCCGACGTATCTTCAGATTTATACCTGATGTTTTCAAAGGTGAAACTGAAGCGAATAGAGCACTGATCAACCAAGCGAAAACATTGCAAAGATTAAATACAGCCCTCCTTCTACAGTTACTTTAACCAATCAGGATATTTTGAGTGACAAGATTCACAATTCATTAAATGAAAAGCAAGTGGACATGAATTAATGTAAGGTGGACAAAAACAGAGAGGGATAAGACACAAGCTGAAAACATACAATCAGACAAGCTAGTGAAAAAAGCAGAAATATGTGGAAGAGAAAGAGAGAGGAACTACAGAATACAGTGAACAGCTTGTAATCACTTGGAATATTTGGACTTCACTGATGACCTGACCCTTCTAACACATACACATTAATAAATTTAGATAAAAACAACCAGTGAAGCTGCAGTCTCTACAACAGTAGGCCTTAGCATACACAAGGGAAAATGTGAGTTTCTCAAATACAGCACCGAGAACACCAACTCAGTCACACTTGAAGGGCGTGGAAAACTTCAAGCACCCGGATGGCATCATCAATAAACAAGGAGGATCCGACTTAGATGTTAAGGCAACGCCTGGCAACGCAAAGGCAGCCTTCCTACATTCAAAGAAGACATGCAATTGAACACGTCTGTCTGCAGTCTAACATCCATCTTCAGAATAAACGTCAAGAAAGTTCTACCATACGGAGATGAAATTTAAAGAACCACAGAAACAATTGTCAAAAACGTACGCGTATATATTAACAAATATCTGCACAATATAACGAGTATCCCTTGACGGAACAACATCAGAAACAGCCTACTGTGGGAGACAACAAGACAGCTTCCAAATTAGGAGGAAATTAGAAAAAGACATTGTAGATCTATATCATTTATCTTGTGGAAATGATCAAACTGCATCACGGGGCAAGCGCGAACTAGGATCCTCAATCGAAACAAAAAGAGACGAAGATGAGAACATCAACAGGATAAACAGGAATTAGAGAGAACTGCAAATGATTGTCCATGACAAGGTTGGATAGAGAATACTTGTGGTTGGTCTATGCTCCTTCACGACGTGGGCTAACGGGCATAAGGAAGTAAGTGAGAGTGACCTTCTAGACCCTTGTAATTTTCACAGTTACTTCATTGTATGAGTGATAAACTATACGTAAATTGACCACTTTGCGAAATCCAAAGTGACGCCAAGTTGTTTATAATCATCAATAAGTTCACGAACTTTTCCGTAAAACTGAGCGACTGAAAGCAGTAGTTTAACCCATTTGTTTTCTTTACAAGATCATTAAAGAAATCAACAGATATAAAACAAGAACTTAGAAATCCGTAATTTCGACGTTGTTTGAACTTAAACATAGTATTGAGAACAGGAACCTGCCATTGCTTGATCAATTACTGTATACACTGATAATTCGCAAAACAGACTGATATACTGGATTCTGTACTGCCATTTTTATTGAACCTTCTAACTTAGTTACATTGACGGATTATATTTTCAACTGCTTTTCATAGAGACAACTGATATTCAGTATATTTACATTTCTGTTTGTGCTGACCTAACTATGGTCTCTGATGAATTAGGTTTTTCTCAATGGGTTCGTTTTTCTTATTTGTTCACAGCTTAAAACTAGTCTTATCAAGACAAGGCAGACTGAATGTTAAATTTCATTTTATCTGCTACTTTCAGTCAGTTGAATAATGGTCGTGCTGACTAGAATATGTATCCATTGGAATAAATAACGTGAATTTTTGTCCATGTAAATGTTAAATGTCTATTTATGATTTTACAGAAAATCTTATAATTAAGAAGAGCTGTCACATGGTAGACATCTAGGTCTGATAACTATATCTGTGTTTGTGGTATAAATAAACACTAAAAGAATGATCTGTGTAGGTCCATTATTCAGTATACAAAATCAGCTTATTTAGCATTCTTCAGCGCGATCATTCCAGGTAAAACGTTTCATCAATTTTAAATGGAAAATGTCAAACGGCGACTTGATAAAGAACACACTGACTTAAACATAGTTTTTGTAATTGATTCTGAAAACAAATGAGATTAGAATCTGAATATGATATCAATCAGCTGTTCAGTTTAAACCACTCAAGTAAAGTAGAATCTCTGTAATCACGGTTTAGACTTTAATAGATGAACTAAGATAAGAATTTATGAAAATCGCAAATAAATTCTCAAAGAATTTTCCTCCAGCTGGCTTTCTTGAAACGGACGAATCTGCAGGAATCACGATTTCAGACAATTTTCATTAGCTTCTTTGCTGCAACAGATAAATCCTAGGTTAACATTAGAGTGATATATGGTATTTCAATGACACCGATAATAAAAATAAAAGTACTTTTCCGAGTGTCAAACTCAAAAGATCGATTGATAGATCTGTGAATTGACAAACCAGTAATCAATTAATTCAACAGAATAAAACTGTCTAATAGTGAAATTGTTGATTAGTCTGAAAGAAATGCATTCAAAGTAATATGATTGTATTGGAAACATTTTTATTTAACCAATTACTGATAACATCACGATGAGTTTTTGTCCATTTCATGTTTTCCTTCGACCTTTTAAACAAATCATTTAATCCACGTTTCAGAACATGATTTTCAGGTAGTTTTTGTCCAGAATTTTGCATAGCAAGTACCTAGTGAATTAAAAGCCAACCATTTGTATTCATTAATTCGAAAAACAAAAACTTAATAACTACCAAGTATATTACGTCGACTAGTATGGTAGTAATCAGGTTGAGCGGGTGGGGTGAAAACACCTCAATCTGTGAATTTGGTTGCTGATGGTCCAAGATATGAAGCATATATCTTGAGTGGAATCTTTGAAATAATAACTCCACCAACTAATAAACCGTCAGAGAATGTAGTTACAAAACTTCTTCCCTGGATTTGTAATATCTTATCGCATCGAATAAAACTTATGTGGCTGACAGTGTCCATAATGATAATGAAAACACAACTAAATTATCAACATCAACGAAATCACATCACTTAACTCATCCAACCAAGCTGCACAAATTCCGCGTCATAAATATAAATTTATTCCTGTGTAAAGACATTCATAACACCAATATATTCCGTCTATATATATATCGAAAAATGTTATCGATCTAGAAATAACATTTGTTAAG